TCTTTAATGGATGTTCGTGAGTATTTTATTTTTAAATATCGATAACCATATATATATTACTCGATCCAAATTCAATACTTTCTCGCGTTCAAATAGTCATCTTGTATGGATGTATCAACATGCTCTAGGTCATCACATCTACACAAACATTGCTGGTAAATTCTTAAAATCTATTGTTTAAAATCATTGCCATCATTTCACAAACTATTAATTAATTTTGCGTAGGCGCCGACCCCGATATTCTTACTGGTAAGCTGATTTTTGGGGGAAATTCCTTTTGATTTACGATTGAGATATTCACATCAATTGATCTCCAGGTGAACCGGATATTAGACGTATTAAACCGTCTCAAAAATGGTACTCAAGATACGTGAATCAGCATGTATTTGTGCCAATAATATATGGTTTACTAGCGATCAAAGTTCGTCTCCAGGACATAAACATTGTGTACATAATTGGATCAAACGACAAAATAAGAATCAATCCTCTCACAATGTGGCAAACTTGTGTTTTCTGGGGAGGAAAGGTAATAAGAGTCTATATAAAGTAGTTTGAATTTGTATCTGGATTTTCTATTTATAAACGATGTTGTCCAAAAATTCCAGGCATTTTTTATCTTTTATCGTGTGATTATTCCGATAACATTTTTTCCCTTATGGAAGGTCTTCACTCTTTGTGCAATCGCCGATGCTATCTCATCTTATTGGTTATCTTTAACATTTCAAGCTAATCATGTGGTCGAGGAAGTTGAATGGTAATTTTTAATGACTTCTGTTTCTAATATATTTTCAAGATCTGACTTTATTCCGATTTATCCAAGGCCTCTTCCAGACGAAAGCGGACTTATCCAAAAAGATTGGGCCGAGATGCAGGTAACTTTTACTAATTTTTTTATGAATATTAGATCATTCGTTAACCGTTTTTTGTTATAAGATTGTGACAACCCAAGATTACGCGCATGACTCCTATTTATGCACCTCTGTCGTTGGCTCATTAAATTTCCAAGCAGTTCATCATATTTTCCCTCAAATTTCACAACATCATTACTCTAAAATTGGGCCCATCGTCAAAGAAACGTGTCGAGAGTTTGGAATTCCATACTATTACAAGGTAATTTTGCCTCTATTCATTTGATATGCATCTATTTCGCTAATACATTTTGCGCGTTTATCAGGAAACACTTTTGGATGCCGTGGGGTCTCACATCGAACATCTTAGATTACTAGGATTAAATCCTAAAGAAGATAAAACTGAATAACTTATTTTCATCCTGTACAAGATATAAAGTAACCAATCGTTACGCGTATTTACAATGTATTTTATTGCATGTATAATAATATTATTTAATGTACAATAACGTTTATACATGCATATACGAATTAAATTTATACAGATTTTAGTTTAACCAATAGATTTGCGTATATTAACTATACATAATCACATGACAAATACCAACATGGTTTCGTGGTGTTTTATTTTTTTTAAAGTAGATAAACACCATTTATTTATCTATTTATATATTACATGTATACACTTTGAAAGAAACGACATCTTTCACATGTATTTACAGTAATCCAATGCTAGCTTGCCTACAGGGCTATCTAGTGTTCTATACTTTATAGCTTATATTTTAAAGTTTATTAAATAATTTTATATTTTATAAAAATTTATTATTTTTGTTACTAATATTTTAAATTTTAATAAAAAATTTTTAAATAAAAATATAATATAATTGATTATATTGTTTTTTTTTTTTTTGTTTTTTTTTTTACACCTGATCAGGCCATATGCTATTTAGTTTATTTCAAGCTCTTGAAATAAGTAATTCTAATATGGATTTTATATGAATATATAAATAAACTATTAATAAGAAAACCTATTAAAGCTATATGGCAAACCCATCAACAGCCAATGGTCTCTATATGTGATTAAAAGAAATGAAAAAATTGCTTAATTAAAGAAAAACATTTCTTGTTTATTTAAAATATTATAACCAATTCTTTATTAAGATTATTATTTCAATTTAATCTCTATAGTTCTAAGATATAAAATTTTTTATTTTTTTAAGAAGATAAAGGAAAAAATAAAAGAAAAAGAAAAAAGTTTGTAATAATAAAATAAAAATCCATTTAAACCAATCACCAATCTAATAAAAACTTTCTTTAATCTTAAAGAGAAAAGAAATCAATACAAAAAGGAAAAAGAAAAACTTCAAGCCACTTCTTATCAAGAGAACACCTTAATATCTTATTCTTTTGTCTTATCCAATTGCATTATCAATTGTAATATGGTACAATATAAAACATGTATAAGTATATATCTTGTTTATATTTTTTTTTATATGTTGATTAACCAATTCAAGATTTTAGCCAATTATTAATCAAAATTTCCAATATAACAAAAATTCAAGATCAAATTAAAATAGACAAAATTTTCTAAAAAAATCAAAAAAAATTTTAATATATTTAAAAGTACTACTATAGATATGTATAATTAGTAAAGAAAGATTATATACTGTTGTCGTCACCGGCAAGTCTGTCACTAAAACGGTGCACTCTTCGCGTGACGATAATCTGAACGCTTGGATTATGGCACTAAAATAAGGTAAGGCTTTAACTCCGAGGCGGTTACAATTTGGCCGACTTTCGCGCACTTGCTAATCTCTTCTTGACTGTCCTTCCCTCTAAGCGCGTCTTAAGATTACAAGTGTCACTCTCTTACGGTGCAAAAGTAACGTCGCGTCTCTCCTTTTCAAAGGCGGTTTACTTTATAGTAGTGGCGCGAACTTAGTTTATACTTTAAGGAATGTATCTTGTTTATTGTGCGAAGCGAAGTAGCATTTATTTTAATAAAGCGTGAGTGTGCCAAAAACAGAGACGTGTTCTAAAAAAGAAACTTTTTGTCCCTGATCTAGAACTTAGAACCTGTCCTTTTTAACTAACTCTAAAACTATCCTATTTATATGCCTTGTTGACACATAAATACCCAGTATATGCTATTACTAATTATTATATCATTCCATCATCACTGTCTCTATTATTTTGCGTCGCGCCACAATATCGCGTTCTCATCTCTATTGTTCCCCTAACAATACTATACTTGAATAGATAGGTTCTATTAACTTATCCATTTATTTTAAACATTGAATGTTCACTTATAATAGATCCAAGATTCTTATAAAGCTTAGAAAATATATTTACAGATAGGTTTAACTAGCTTATCCATCCACTTTAGATATCAAGTATTTACTTATAATAGATTCAAGATTTTTATAGAACTCAAAAAATATATTTATTAGTGATTTATTTTCTGAAGTTTTAGATCTAAGAAAAATATAATAGAGGGTATTTTCAACAGGTTTCTTCTTTTCAGTAAAATGTTCTTGCATAAACTAAATAAGTAAAGTTTTATTTATTTTGTTATTAAAATATATAAAGTTTTTTGAAAAAAGAAAATTAATAAATAGAAGAGGTACTAACCTTCAAAAAATAATTTTTTTTTTTTTTTTTTTTTAAGGAACAAAGACAATCATTAGTTTCTCACTTTTATTATAATTGACTTGCTATTACAACAGTAAAAAATAAAATTTTAAAAAAAATATATAGATTTTATTATCAAAAATAAGAAATATTTTTGAGAATATCTATTTTTTGGGTTGACAAAGAGATTAATAGAAAAAGTTTTTTATAATTGATTATATTGTAATAAAAATAAGTAATTAATATAACTACATATATTATTTCTATTTTTATTTTAACAAGTATTAAATATACTAATAAACCTGTAAATCAATAGATAATAAATAGTATTCTCAGATTTTTAAATACATATCCTTAATTCAATATCTACAGGAGGTAAAAAATATATAAATTTATTCTTTATTTATGAATTTATTGATTTTTTTTACAAATATTGTATCCAAATATTCAAATCTTAATTTTTTTTTTTTTTTTTTTTTTTTTTTTTAGTTCAATCAGTCAACGCAGGATTTTTCAACTTGTTAGCCTCCCGGTGTTTCTCCGGGGTGCAGGTATGATTGTATTTGATCCT